CATTCAGGTAACATTCCTTTGGGACACGGAACACTACCTCTAAGGAATCATACTCCTATCCTTCATAATCTCCTTCATCACTATGAGTAATCTAAAGGATATTGTCCTCTCTTGGAATGTCCATGGTATGCACGACCCAAAGAAGAGAACGGCTGTCTTCACATTCCTCAGCCATCAAGACCCTTCCATCGTATGCCTTTCACGGTTATCTCTTCTAAAATAGATCCGTTGGGTCGTTATATATTTCTGTTATGTAATTGGGACTCTCATTTAAGTGTTCTTGCAAATATGCATGTACCTCCACCATTTCACATGGAGACGGTGAGATGTCTGTTTCAATTTATAGCCACCCATCCATAAATACCATTATTGGTAATGGGGGACTTTAACACAGTTTTGGATACTTCCTTAGATCTCTTCAAAAAAATCTCCCCACTTGGCCCTAGACAAATTACTCCTTTTACCCGCCACATGAAGGAAATTGGACATGGGACTTATGGCAATCCTTCCACCCACTAGATGCTCAATTTTCATGTTACTAAAGCTCCCACTCCTCGCTATCCCATATAGATTTGGCATTGGGCTCTGATCTGATTCTACCGTATACACCTCAGATGACCTATTTAGCTAGGAGCCTATCTGATCACTCCCCAATGCATATAGCCTTATCCCTGAAAAGGCCCTCTACATTTACATTGTGGAAACTCAATCCATTCTGGATAACTCTCTTCACTGATTTGGATTTAATGTATAAACAATTACAGGGCTTTTTACTTTATAACTGATACTGAGCGTCTCCTATGATTTTTTGGGATGCTCTGAAAGCATATATTAGACGCATGTGTATCAAAGAAATTTCTAGAATTAAGACTAATCCCAGACAGTGGGACGTTGAGGCCGGCCAATCTGTAACTAAGGCAGAACAAGCCTATCTTAGTAATACCAACCCTGATACAGAGAGGGAGTGGTTGCAGGCACAACAGTTTTTGAGCATGGGCCAACTTCAGCATGCTGAAAATAAACGTTTTTTTTCTTTTCAGGCCTTCTTTGAGGAGGGGGAAAAAACAGATCATATGCTGGCACTCATTGCCACAGCTCAGCAACCATCTTCTCATTTCTCTTCTTTAAAACTGCCCTTGAATCAATTGGTCACAGATATCCCCTCCATATTACAAGGCTTTAGATCTTTTTATGAAACAGTCTACTCTACCAAAGTGTCTGCTGATGGCTCTAACATACGGGAGTTGTTGGAGTGCATAACACTTCCTCAACTTACTATTCAACAAAGGCAAGAGCTTAATGCACTGCTCACTCTTGAAGAATTACAGATGGCTGTAGCTTCATACCCCAATTCCAAGGCTCCTGGCGGAGATGGACTGCCGATGGAAATTTACAAATCTTTTGGGGGAATACTTTTACCTGAACTACTTAAAATACTCCAGGTGGTGTTGGAGCAGAATTCCCTCCCCGCCTTGATGTATGAGGCATTCATAGTCGTACTTTTGAAATCGGGAAGGACACAAAATTAGCAGAGTCCTACTGACCCATATCGCTATTGACCTCAGACCTTAAAATTATTACTAAAGTACCGGCGAACAGACTGACTAGGGTTCTCTCTACACTTATACACCCAGATCAGTCGGGCTTTATGCCTAACAGATCTACAGCAATCAATATTCAATCAATATTCGTAGGCTCTACCTTAACCTTCAAATTCCTTCTGATAATATGGGTGACAGGGCAATTTTGTCTCCCGATGCCGCTAAGGTGTTTGATAGTGTAGAATGGAGATAACTTTGGCAAGTATTCGCGAAATTTAACCTGGGGGACACCTTCATTTCTTGCATTCAGTTATTCTATCGTGCCCCGCTGGCCCACATCTGGATTAATAATTTACACTAGGTAGAGGAACACGGCAGGGCTGTCCTCTTTCCCTGCTATTACTTGCCTTAGCGATAGAACCCCTGGCGGCTGCCATTAGAGAGGATCCGGGTATAGTAGGCTTTTGTAGAAGAGAGCAGATGGAGAAAGTAGCATTATATGCCGATGACACCCTCCTGTTTTTGGGTGATACATCAGCTTCGTTGGCACGCCTAATGACATTAATCAGTCAATTTGGTTCTTTCTCCCGCTTCTTAATAAATTGGGATAAGTCCACCCTTATCCCGCTGCACACCCTTACGAATCTCCCATGCGGCCTGAAGCTGGGCAGATAGAAATAGTGGACTCCTCTAAGTATTTGGGTATTATCATTCACCCCACTCTATCGAAATATACAGATCTAAACTTACTTCCATTCATTTAAAAATTTCAAGAGAAAACAACTAATTGGACTAAACTTCTTCTGTCTGTGGTAGGGAGGTGTAACTTAATCAAAATGATCTGGGCCCCTCAATTACTTTATATTCTGCAAAATGCCCCTGTTTGGATTCCTATACGGATCTTTAAAAGATTTCATACAGTATTTCGCTCCTTAATCTGGCGGATGCGCACGCCTCGGATTAAACTAGAAACTCTACAGGAAGCTAAAGACATGGGAGGCCTTGCGGTTCCCAATTCTTTTCTTTATTACATAGCGGCCCAGTTACAACACTTTACTGCCTGGCAGGACAATGCAAATCCAGGCCTGGTCAGTTTGCTTCTTCTAGGGACTGTGTCCACAGCTAATTTAGTGGAATGCCCAAAAGCAGGTGAGGACAGGGTCAGCTCGGATCTTCAATCATAGTTTTTGTCCAATCACCTGTAAGTGCTGTATGTAACCCATTCATGATTGAAGACCTGTGTCCTGTACCATCTTCCAACAATGGGATTTACAGGTACATAAAAAAAAAAAAAAAAAGTCCATGTCTATGGGAAACAGAAGCATGGGAATGGTTCTTGACCATGCCCAGGGAATAATTTGAAGCACCTTACATGTGTTGTCACTTGCTTCCCTGCTGGGCTACCTTGGTCCCGATGGATGATTATAGCTAAATGAGAAATTTGGAGGTTGGCCAAGACTTTTGGAAAGATTTTAAGAACAAGATTCAGAAGGGAGACTGGCCTGCAGCTATACATTGGGATGGGTCTTTTGGGATAACCAAAATGTGGGAATGGAGGGCATCTGTGGGGACTGTGTCCCATATCACAGAAATACAGAAGGAGCACCAGTCAAAAGCTGGATGAAAGAATCCAAGATAATTGTATTTGTTGATTAAAAAAAAAAAGTCCTATAAAAACAGCCATCAGCGGACATGTTACCAACACTTTTTCATCCTGTTTCGGTCTGGTGCTCTTTTCTGTATTTCTGTGGTTTGAGCTACTGTTGGGTGTCCATCGAGGGAAGCCTTGCTGTGTGGGAACTGCCTCGCCAGAGTTATTGCGCTTGTGTGACGTTTTCCTTCACCTGAATAAACATGCAAGTCTAAAGGTTTCCAGCACCTCTTTGAGTAAGAATTTAATTGTTATTGTGTGGCCCTTGGAAATGGATTTATACGTTTTATTGCAGGTTGAGTTTGTCTGGTCCTGGGGCTTTACCTCTTACATGTTTTCTGAATACTGTCAATAAATTGTCCTTGGAGATTTGCATCTCCATGGAGTCCCTGCCATGGTAAGAGATTTTTGATAGGCCAGAGTGGATCAGGTATTTGAAGGTAATATCTTGTTTTCTGTCAACAGATTGTCTCAAAAGCAATTAGCCATAACATTTGAGGTATAAAGTTTCTGCCCTGGGGAGATTGGGATGTAAAAGCATAAAGTAGTTTCTTTCAGAGAACTCACTAAAAGTCTCTCCAATTTGTATCCATATTTATAGTATAATCATAGAGCATTTTGGTTTTCACATTTTTTCCAAAAGAGGTGTATTTTCTTGGTCCCATCAGATTCTGTTCAAGTTCTACTGCCTGGGTTAACGCTAAGGATTTTCTGTGAGCCAGCTCTGTATTTGGTCCAGGAGGATAAGGAATTTTTTGCTGTTCTCTCTCTTTTACAAGCCAAACTGATTTTAATGAGGGAATCTCATTTGTAGCCATTTATGTTAAATGAAAGACTTGATTTCCTGTAACATGGTCAATTGCTGTGGATGGTTGTGTCCCATGTACAGGTTAGGAAAATATATACTAATCTGATCCATTTAAAGCCGAACTCCATGCAACAGTCAATACACAGCTGAAATACATGTAAGAGTGCTGTTTGACCTGGCAAGGGAATTTTTGTATTTATATCTATCTGGTTCTGAGATCTATACAGCTCTGCAACATAGTACAGGCTTGACTGGCAGGGCAAGAGACCTGATTTTTCTATGCAGCAGTTGAGTAACACATTCAGGTCTTGTTGCTTTCCTAGCTAGTGACAGGACAGAAGCAGCAGAATCACAAGCTCTCTCTCCTTCCATTAGCATGCTCCTGGTTAGCCAATGATTGGTTACCTATTCTGCTCCTCCCTCTCCCTGTCTGAGATCTGCTATATAGGGATTGCAGGACATTCATAGCAAGTCAAATTCAAGTTTCTACACCTGTCTCTGTTTAAAAGAATACATTTAATAATGTATTAGTGAATGAAGAGTTGCATAAATATGTGTCTTTTTTATCTGCTTGTGCAGAAATAACTAAAAATTAGGTTGTTACTGTTGTTTTAGGGCAGCCCTGAATTAAAATGTGTTCCAGCAGAATAAAGTACCTAGAATAACGGTGGAAGCTAAACAGACATTTGTGCCATGATAATCTTCTTTGTTGTCACGTTCTGCTCTTGGTGGAAAGCTTCAACAAAATTTAACTAAGGGTACTTGGCAAGATAAGCATCAACTGACTGCTTTGGAAAATTCTAAAACTTAGGTGTCTACAGTAATTTCGTATCTCACTGGTATTTAGTCAGTTCTGGTAATGAGATACTAAGATCTATTATATAAGCATAAACCAAATTAAGTGCAGAGAACAGAGAATAAAGCTTTAAAGGTAAGGGGGAAAAAATAACAAATGGTGGTAAAGTCTAAAATCTGTAGAAACATTAATGTAATATCTTACCACCAAACAGGTTCCCATCCACTCAGACACAAGGACATCGACTCTGGACGGTAATTTCAACTCTTCTGCCCTCTGACGTATAGCCTTAACCATGCCTGAGAATTCATTTTCTTCAACTAACCTGCTTGTTTGTTCAGCAATATCACTTGCTTCTACTGCATACACCTGTAAAGAAAACATTGCTGTTTTTTTTCATACACAGACAGGCGACAACAATTTATCTCTCTTCCAGAAAGGGACACCGGATTCTGGAGAAACCCAGGTTATACTGCCACCCAATGAGGACAGGAATACTATGGGGTATAATCCCTCCCATGACCAGCATTCTTCAGTTTGTTAGTATCTAAGAAGCATGCATATGGTTTTTCAGCTCTGCTGTATTCAAAATTTAGCATTAAGCAGGCCATACATGGGTCGAATTCCGAATGATTTTTGATCAAAAACATTGTTCGTTCTGTAATCCAATGGTGCCACCAATGATTTCGAAAATCGGTTATTTTTCATGAATTTTCCAGCATGCCCAATAAACGAAATGGGGAGGAACCACGAAAATTGGCCAGTGCCATTACCCCACTAACAGAGCGAAAATCGGCCGATTATTCTTAGGTCTGATTTTCGAACAAAACAGTTGCATTACAGTCCGTCCCCGCTCATTAGAGTCCCTTTTGCTCTACTGGCCATAGAGAACTATCAATCCATCCTATAGCTTGGGGGGGCTGTTAGGAACAGGCCATGAAAAAAGGGAACTAAAGCTTATGTAATAAAATCTTCAGAGAGACATATGAAGGCACATTCCTCAGCTAATGACACTAGCTAAAAACTGAGGATTAGCTGAGCTGGGAGGGGTTATGTACAGTATATAGTAGTCCTTTTTCAATCCTTGTTCCATTCAGGAACACAAGTTTCACCCATCTGTCTTATGGCTATTAGCTCTTGGTACTACTTTGGTTTGCTAGGGAACTGAATAATGCTGGGGGTATATCTCTTAGGCCTGGACTATATTTGTTCTATTTTCTAATGTCCCATCCCCCTGTTGGCAGCAGTATAACCTAGTTGTTTCCAGACTCTGACAAAGGATTTCTGTACTCCCCATATAATCCTATATTTCTCTACGGCAGAACCTAAGCTTCTCGTAAGAACTTTTTTTGCAAATTCTCTTTATTTTGAAGAAAGTTTTTAACACAGTAATAAAGCATTCCTAATCAGATACCACATGACTCACTGAACTAAATACTACACAGTTGAGTGGTTACTGGTGGGTTGTCACCATTATTTTATACCTTGTTGACTACAGTGATCAAGATCTCAATAACACATTTCTCAGCCCTGCCACTGCTTTCTCCTGCTGAACACAATGTAGAGTAAACTATATGGAGAATCCACCTGAAAGAGTAATCCTTCTCTACTAGGAATATACGCTGAAGTCAATAAGCATGTATGGAAAAACTCTACTGCAGATAAAACAGTGGAAAAAAGCATTTGAGTGGGTACTTCTTTTTTTTTTCAGTATGAATTCCACAACTGGAAAACTAACCACGTCACTAAAAGTGCGATCTCCATTAGATTTATCAGCTATATAGTGTGAGTGCCATCCCTAATGGACATACATTGACTGGATGGTTTAGACAGGGGCTCACACTACACTGTTGTTCATAAATCTAATAGGCATTGTGGAGTCAAATTTTATTGATTAACCATTTATGAATAAACCAGAACCACAGTGTAAACCTATACACTGGACTAATACTCACAACATCGGGCTGTGCCAGCTGTGCACAGAAAAAACTTATTATTCCAGTTCCACAACCCAGATCGAGAATTCACTTTCCTTTCAGTGCTGAACTGTTTTGTAGTATAACATTTCTGTAAGTCTGTGTATGAGGCTGGTCAGACAGCATCTCCAAGTGTAGTTTCTGCGTGAAAGAGATGGGAGTGAAAAGTCAGACTGATTCACAGACTAATTTATCTGATCTGGAAAGTGCGTTTTACCAAAGTCTTGTAGCTCCCATAATAATCCTTGTCCTGCCAGGGGTCGTCATCATCTGCATCGTCTTCAGTGTTTATTTTGTGCAAATAACTGGCTGGCACATACCCACAATTACCATTATGTTCAACCCACCACCAATCTGGTGTCACTTCAGACAAGAGGAGGACTCTATCCCCACCAGAAAGACTCAGCTGTTTTGGGAAAACAAAGACCACAGGCAGAAAAAATAGCTTAGATGTATATAAATCAACTAAAACAAGTTTACTTAACATTGTCATAAACCAAAAAGTCTGAGGAGCTAAAATCAAAAAAGTTAAAATTCTCTGACTTTTGTGCTGCACATTGACATCAACCACAATGAGACTGAATAGGACGAGTTTACTGCCCTGGAATCAGTCAGCAACCTTGGAGGCTGAAAATTGGTTCTTTTATCTAATGGGGTATTTTATGTAATTTCTGTCCTGTCAAACTTGAAAAAATATGGATGCTACCATTGCCAACATCCTTCTGAAAATACTAGCTGCCTGAAAGGCATTGCTAATCCTCTGACCTTAAAGCTACAGTCATCAAGAAAAAGCAGAACGAGGAACGTCACTCTAAAAGGGAAGTTCCAGTTTATGTCTTCTTCTTCTTCTATTTTTGGCACTTTTTTGGGGGAAAGGGGGAAGCGGGTACCTAATTGACAGGTACCCATTCCCACTTCTGGTCAGTCCTCCCTGCCCACAACCTTCTGGGACACATCACAGGTCCCAGAAGACTGCAGGACAATTCACAATGCACAACATGGATCGTGCATACACACTGGGTAGCTGGCTGTGAAGCTGCAAGGAATCACAGCCAGCTGCACAGAGTAAACATGCAGGTGACAGGGACCCGAAGACTGGCAAAGTATTGGTTTGGGTGAGGACAGCATTGGATCCCTGGACAAGTGAGTGTCCTTTATTTAAAAGTCAGTAGCTACAGTATTTATAGTTTCCGACTTTTAATTTTTTTCAAACAGGGCAAAGAACTGCTTTAAGTAGAGGCAGCTTGTAGAAGGAGAACAATAATACTTACCTGCCTGCCATTTTCACCACTGGAAAGTGTGGTTTTATCCACTGGCTGCTAACTTATAACGGTCATATGGAGTGATGTAGTGGCTGACAAATGCAGTAAAGTAGGAGAGATTTCCGCTCATATCCTGTTCTGGTGACAATTTTACCAGGACATGGAGTGAGAGGAGAATTTGCAATAGGGACACTGACAAGAATAAAAGTATATTTTTATGTTAGATTAGAGAAAGGTTAGTATCCCTGTCAGCTTTTTTGCTACTGTCTGTGTGTCTGTTTGAGATGTTCCTTCACTTCCTTTGCTGTTGACAATGTTATCACTGGGACAGGATGTAAGTAAAATCTGGCAGAGGTTCTAACCCTTCCCCACCCTGTCCACAACAAAAGTTGCATCTGGAGTTACTCTTTTATTTAGTTATCAACATATACATTGTTTCAAAACACCAAGATAAAAGTAGCAAGTTCCTGGGACATCACTAAACACTAAAAGTGCATGTACATTCTGTATGATTCATGTAACAAAAGGTAATAAACTATTCCCTGTGCTGGATTAAGAGTTTTCGTTGATAAAAACAGAAAATACTTAATTTGGCCACTAGATGGCACTAGATATCTTAGGAATTCTTTTTTTATACTTAACACCATCTAGTGGCTAAATGCGGTATTTTCTGTTTTAAAACAAAAACATTCACCCTGCACAGCCTAATATTGTTTTGCCCGATTCACACAACAAATATACAGGCACTTTCACTGGGTAAATTGTTACATAAATATTTTATAAATACGCCCCTATATGTGCCCCAGCAATGTATTCTGTACTTGACATATACCTGTCACCCATACCTGTGTTTCTTCAGCAGCCACAAAGTCACACATCATGACAAATTCACTTGACACGCAATCTTCATAAGGATAATGCGCCACATAGTCCATGTTAGAGGTGATACCTAAGTCTGGAAGCTGCTCATGTGACTCTCCACAACTGCATCCACATAGACTGTCATCTTGGTCTTCATGTTCTGCTGCCCAGAGATCACCTTCCATCTCTCCACTTTTGAGTTGCCTTGCCACGCATTCAGATGAATCCCCAACCACTTGACTTGCTGTGGTGTTAGTGGAATGAGTGCTTGTATTGTTCATTCTGCTCCCAGAAAGATCACCAGCCTTCTCTTCTTCTTTACAAGGCATGGGTTCATTTTCCATCACATTTGTTCTACAACGGCCTAGACACCCCTTCCCACAGCGCTCTGGAGTCCTATTCCTCCCAACTGTGCTACAGCTAGCTGGATCCCTTTCCAATTGTTTATCTTTATCATTATTTGTGTGGTTCTCTGTGGACCTGGCTGCATACTCTGCCTTCCCCTCACCTTCAGAATCACATACACCCCTTTCTAATTCCATCATTCTCATTACCTGGCAGTCATTTTGTATTTCTATTGGTTTTACCCCACAGTCACATAGGTGGATGTCTGTGTCCCTCATGGAGTATGATGGACTATTATTTACACCAGTAGAAGATGACTTGGCTTCAGTTTTCCTCTCCAGTTCTGTCATTTGTCTAACTTCCAGCTCCACTTTTCTGTGCTTCTCTAAACCATCTCCACGTGGCTCCTGCCCTTCCATGTCACCAAACTCTATATACCCTGTTCATCACAGTGCTACAAGGACTGCTAGCAAAAATGGATAGAATTGTAATACCTAATGGGATTTTCCCGCCCCAACACTTTTCTGATACAGTGCACGGTGGTTCTGAACAACTCCGCCCCAAGCTCAAGTTTGTAGACAAATAATCCTTCAATACTGCTAGATCCACTATAATCTCCTACACCCCATGTGATCCCTCCTGCCTTACAGCCCTGGCTGGGTTCTGGACATCTGTCTTCTCCTTCCCCTTATCAAAACATACGCAGAGTTTTGTGTACTCCTTCCTGGTGACCCCCTTTGCTGCAACTGTTCTGGAGTATCAGGTCATGTCACTGCTACTTTACCTCATTTCAGTACATTTCACCAATACTTTCCCCAATACTGGGACAACTCACTGCTATCAGCCCCAGAAC